CAAAAATATATTAACTCAAAAAACAATGAATACACGGCGATCACTAGGATCCAACCCTCAAAACAACAAATGAATTAGGCTATTCCTAAGGCATCATTAAGGAAGATAAGTGTGGTCTAAGCTTGAGACTATTCCATCTTCTGTAAACAATCACATTCAGAATCCTCTCTACAATATTCCTATCCTCACTAACATTACGAAAAATGAAGTCATTTTGCAGATGCCAACATTCATGAATGGTTTCAGCAAGAGCCATTCTAGCCAAATCAGATTTCCAGCCCTTACCACGATACTGCCTAAGAATCCAATTCATTTCCTCAAACCAGAAACCAGGAACATGTATAATCTGGAGCCAATGCAGCACAGCTTGCCAAATTCTCTTTAACTTAGTACACTCGAAAAAAAGGTGATCAACAATTTACTCTTTATCACAAAACACACACATATGTTGTTAGATATCATACCAAACCTGAACAACCTAGCCTTAGTTGCTAAGCTCCCATGGCAAGACATCCAGAGGGTAAATATGGACCGGGGTCGTGCCTTGTTTAGGAGGATGAGGTTACACCATATAACTTTATCCCTGACCGGTATCAACTCATTGTACACTTTCTTGGTGTAGAACTTCCCCTCGTTCAACATACTCACCCACAAGCTATTAAAACCAGGCACAAGTACACGCTGTTGCAAAATGGCTTTAAAAATACCTGAATCGATCAATTTGGAATTTCTGCACATGATCTCATCATTCTTCAGATAATACGCATGAATCCATTGAACCCATAAATTATCAGCCTTTGCACAAATATTCCACAGCAGCTTCAGAATGAGCACTCTATTCCAAATGGCCATATCCTTAACATTAAGCCCACCTTTAGTGGATGGTTTACAAATCTTATCCCAAGCAATAGGGCTTTTTTTACTCACAGTACTGCACCCTGTCCAAAGATAAATTCTGCAAACAACATTAATTTTATGCAAGACAGCTTTTGGGAACAAGAAACACTGCATCCAGTATGAAGATATAGCATATAAAACACTCTTGATGAGCTGCAAACGTCCTGCATAACTCAACAAGCTAGCGCTCCAATGTGTAATCCTGCAGACCAACTTATCCACAAGAGTCGTATAATGGATCACCGAGAGATTCTTGCTGGTCACAGGCACTCCCAAATAACGAAACGGGAACTTACCCTCTCGGTAGGAAGTCATACACAGAATACGCTCTTTGGCATCAGCTGTCATCCCACCAAAGTAGATGTTGCTTTTTACGGAACTCATCTTCAAACCTGTGGATTCTAGGAACGTTTGTAAAGTTTGTTGCACAAGCTCAATCGAGTTAATATCTCCCCTGGAAAATAACAACAAGTCATCCGCGAAAATCATATTAGTAATTGACAGCCTCTCACACTTGGGGTGATGAATGAAATCCAGATTCTTTTGCATTTGGAAGAACAATCTATTCAAGTACTCCATTGTGATGACAAACAAAAGAGGAGATAAAGGGTCCCCTTGACGTATGCCCCGTCTAGCCTCCATTTTGTCCGTAAGCATACCATTTAGATCAAAATGATACGAAACAGTAGTCACGGTTGTCATAACCCAGTCCACAAACTTCCTTGGAATACCAATTTCACACATGATATGCTCCAGCGCACACCTGTCCACCATATCATACGCTTTCTGGAGATCTAGCTGGATCATGCATCTAGGGGAAATCATCTTTCTGTTATACCCTTTAATCAGTTCTGTTGCCAATAAAATGTGGTTTTGAATATGCTGCCCTGTCACAAATGCAGCCTGAGCTTTATTGATAACATTGCCCAGCACCTTACCCAATCTAGCAGTGAGAATCTTGGAGATTATTTTATAAAATATGGAGCAACCTGCTATCGGACGATAGTCACGAATGGTCTTGGCAGCTGGATGTTTGGGGATAAGGGTAACAATAGTTTCATTAAAAGCTTTGTAAATCACATTATGCTCAAAAAATTCATTAACAACCTCTATCACGTCCTGTTCAATTACCTCCCAGTTGGATTTGAAGAACTTCGCCCCATAACCATCAATGCCTGGACTTTTTAAGTCACCAATTCCTTTTAATGCAGCTCTGATTTCAGACGCAGTAACAGGTGCAATAAGGCCACTCCTCTGCAACACCGACAATTGAGGGCCTTCCCTCATAGTTGTTATATCAATCATTTGCAACTTGCTATCACGCGATCCCATGAGATTCCTGTAAAAATCACAGACCTCAGCAGCAATATCATCAGGATTCTGAAGTACATAACCATCTTCCTTATGCAGAACTTTGATGGTGGTAGCAGTATGCTTAGATTTCAGAGAAGCATAGAAAAAATAAGTATTGCTATCTCCTTTCCCAAGCCAATCAATTTTAGTCCTTTGCCTCATCATTTGGTCATTAATCTCTTCCAATAGATTACAGATTCAGTACAGCATTTGACTTTGTCAATAATCTCAGTATTCATTCTATCCAGACACAGCTCCTCCTGGGCCAGTCTAAGATCAATTCTGGCTTTAGCAATAGTTTTGTTTACATTAAACAGTTGCTTACTCAGGCTACGGATAGGAACCTGCAAACGCATGAGCTTAAACCAAAGCTTGGCCATAGGTCTGCCCTTCATTGGTTTTTTTCAGCTATCAACAACAATCACACGATAACCTTCCATCTGGATTACACTATTAGTAAACCTGAACTGAGAAACCTTTGCCTCCCTCTGCACATGACCATTCAAATAGAGTAAGTTATGATCTAAGACACTGCAAGGAAGAATAGCCAATTTCAAGTCAATGTTATCCATCAACCACTCAATGTTTCCCAAGACATGATCAATTCTAGAATAAATTATCCCCACAATATGTTTATTGGTCCAAGTATAATAATCCCCTAGGCTATCTTTCTCATATAGACCAGCTTTCTCCATTACATCTCTGAGATCCACACTTTCAGCATCAGTTACCAAGTTATCCCCAATTATGTCCATAGCTTTGATCACATTATTGAAATCCTCCATAAGGAACCAAGCTCCTTGCTGACTATTGTAAACCCTCTCCAAGTCTGCCCACAATCTTCTTCTATCGTCCAGCTGATTAAACGCATAGATAGTTGTCATCCAAGTTTTAAAAACACCATTCAAATCATATATCCCACAGTGGATCATCTATGCAGAGCATTTGACCAATCTAATCTCAACCCTGTTGTCATCCCAATAGATCCAGATTCTACCATTAGGGTGATGCTGATAATTATCCAGGAAACTACCTCTAAGCTTCAACTGCTCTCTAACTTTATTTGCCTTAACAGATTTCACTCGAGTTTCAATAAGAATGGCTATCCTAGGGTGAAGATTGAGGAGATGGGAGCTAATCTCCCTTAACTTCCCCATTTTATTTAACCCCCTCAAATTCTAGGATACAATCATTGCCCAATATTTTGAAACTCTAGGAGATCGTTCAAAATCCCCAGGGCATCAAAACCGTTATCACATACCAAATTACCTGATGATGCTGCAAGCCCATGATGTTTCCCTCTGTCAGACACACTTCTAGGGGCCTCTTTCCATGCTTCCTCAGACGATTCCATCAGCTTTCCATCAGGATCCTTCTTCCCTGGAGTTTGAACCTTAGCCTCATTCTGAAGTCCTACTGGACCCATTCCCACTGAGGTTGAAGAAATTGTTGAGACCTGCGTATCATCTGGAGGTTTTGGTACCCAATGCTGCTTAGGAGAGACTTTAGCACAGTTGTGCCCAAGCTTTTGACACTTGCAGCAGAATTGAGGCTTCCATTTATACACAATGGGCTGCTGAAACTTGACCCCTCCTTCATCCACAATGGTGATAGACTGAGGCAATTCCTTTGTAACATCCATTTCCACTAAGATTCTAGCATATGAAACTCGCAATCTATTGGCGATACATTCATCTATTACAATCGGATTGCCTAGGCAACTACCAATTTTGCAAAGGCTTGTATCCCCCCATAAGATGAGAGGCAGTTGGGGGAGTTTAATCCAGAGTGGGAGAGTACGCAATAGATCATCCTTCAACTTAAACTCAGGTCTCCATTCATGAATTAGCAGGGGAACATTCCTGAACATATAGGGTCCACGCATAAGGACCTCATCTCTGTCCGCAAAAGATTTGAAGCGAAGAATGAAGAACCCATCATCATTGTAATACATGTCAGGAAGTTGAACGAAGCTCCAGTACCGAGTCATGAAATTCTTAACCCCATTCATGCTCAAATCCAACCCTAGGGAGTACAGAACAAGAGACGGCTCCCAAAACTTCACTTCCGATACGACATCCTCCTCCCTAATAACCGCTTCAGTTGTGCCATTAGCTATCATCGGCGCAATGAATTTCATGGCTCTCCCTCTCGCAGGGTTCCTATTGTCATTCAGAACATCCACCCACAACTTGCGCCCTTCAGTTTGTGAGAATTTCCCATGGGTGGGTTTCACCGGCACAGTGTTTTCCTCTCTACTCACGACTTCCTCTTGAGATTCACCCAAACGAGCACTACTGGAACCTACTTACTGGCTTGATTCACTACCCTTAACAGACGGGGACAATAACTCCGGAGAGACTGGCGGCGGTGGCACCGTCTTCCTCGGACGCCCCGGCTTCCCTCTCCCTTTCCCCATTACTCTAGATATTATTATTTATTGTGTGTATAATAATAATAATTGCACTTTGATAATAATTTATTATTATTATAACAGTATTGTGTTTTATGGAGTAGTACTTTATTAATATTATTAAAAGAAAATGAATTTTGCATCAAAGTGTAATTATTAAAATATTATAAAAAAAAAAAAAAAAGGAGAGAGAAAGAAAGGAGATAAATAAAAGAAAATGAATTTTGCATCAAAGTGCAATTATTAAAATATAAAAATAAATAAAAAAGAGAGAGAAAGAAAGAAGATAAGTAGAAAATTGAAAGCCTAAGAGAAAGAGAAGAGAAGATAGACAGGGATGGGAACACCAGAGACTTCAAGAGAACCATGCCCTGATCGAATTCTCGACGACATAGGCGGTGCTTTCGGCATGGGTGCCGTTGGTGGCTCCGCCTTCCACTTCCTCAAAGGACTCTACAATTCTCCCAAAGGCTCCCGCTTCGTCGGTGCTTCCCAAGCCGTTCGTCTCAACGCTCCCCGTGTCGGCGGCAGTTTCGCCGTTTGGGGTGGTCTCTTCTCCTCTTTCGACTGCACCATGGTCTACCTCCGCCAAAAAGAAGACCCTTGGAACTCTATCTTCGCCGGCGCTGCTACCGGTGGTTTTCTCTCCATGCGGCAAGGTTTAGTCGCTTCTGGACGATCCGCTGCGTTTGGAGGTGTTCTGTTGGCGCTTATTGAGGGAGCGGGGATTATGCTTAACAAGGTTCTTAGCGCGCAGCAGCCGGGGCCTGTGGAGGAGCCAATCGCTGGGCAGACTAACGGCGGTTTTCCGGGTAAACAGGTTCCGCCGGCGGTGGATTCGGAAGCTAAACCGTGGTTTGTTGGTGGGTTGTTCGGGGAAGATAAGAAGAAGGATGAATCTGTTTCTGGTGGAGGAAGTGAGACCAAGATTTTGGAGAGTTTTGATGCTCCTCCTGTGCCAAATTTTGATTACAAGTGAAATTTGGATCTGATTATTATGTATTATATGAAATCAAATATTCAATATCTGATTACAAAGGTTTTAGTTTTATTGAATCTTTTCTACTCTATTGTCACATATAGCTATGTTGTCTGGTTTATGGCCAGGTTAGCTATGCAAGAGTTTTGTTTTATATAATCTTATGATATACGTAACAGAATAAGAGGTAGTCTTCACTAAACTGATTAATATTTCAATGGATTATGTAGATATGTGTGGTGGTTTTGATATACAAAGAATTAGTAATCATCAAACTTGATTTCAAATTTTCGATGCGGTTAATACTGGCTTTTGTGTGGGAAATGTGGAGTAATAGAAATTAAGATTGCATGCTTGCAGAGTGGAAGTCAGTGATTAATCTTCTTGCAAGAATTAGGTGCTAAATGAGAGTAAGAGACTTTGATTATTGGAACATGATGTTTCTATTGTTTGGTTGCTAATGCATCCCCAAATATAGTTTGGGTACAATTGGTTTGTGTCATACTTAGAATATTGGACTGGTAGTGAGATCCTAATTTGGAAAGCTTTTGTTATGTTAAGGAATTTAAAAGCTTTCAAGTTGGTCTTAAAAGCTTGGAACAAACAGGTGTCATGTTGATAACTTTAAAGAGGTGGTTAGCAATGTGGATTCTTTGGCCGATGATAGGACTCTATCTGCTAAGGAGATTGAGGCTAGACCTAGATCAATTGTGGATTTATGACCCTTACTATGAATTAAAGATTTTCAATTGTTCTAAAGATTTAAGTCTAAGTGACTTAAAGAAGGAGACGCAAATTCCGACTACTTTCATGAGTCAATCAAAAGTAGAGGTAGACGAAATGTTGTTTCAGCTTTGAAGGTGGGTGAAAAATGGATTAAACCGGTATCTGAAATTAGGCAAGAGGTGGTGAAGCATTTCACTGATATTTTCAAAGAATCAAATGTTGATAGACCTCGGCTTTATGGTGTCATCTTTCGCTCTCTATCGGGTGATGATAATCTTGTTTTATTGTCGGCCCCCTTTATTGTTTATGAATTAGATTATGTTGTTTCTCATGATGGTAACAAAAGCTCGAGTTCGGATGGGTTTAACTTCTCTTTTCTCAAAAGATTCTAGAATCTAGTAGCAAAAACTCGGGTCCAGATGGGTTTGAGGATTATGTTTGATCAATTCCATTGTTTTGCATCTCTACATGTAGTTTTGCATCCTACTTCATGACCTTGATCCCCAAGGTTAACTCCACGTCTCATTTGGGTGATTTTAAGTTGATTTTCTTGGTGGGATCCTTATATTAGTTGGTGGTTGAAGTGTTGGCCATAAAATTAGGGTCAATGATAGATAAGTTTATTTTCCCTAATCAATTGATTTTCTTTAAATAAAAAATATTGATTTATGGAGTGGTGATTATGAATGATGTGATAAAATTAGTCAAGAGATATAAGAAAGTTTGTCTCATTTAAGGTATATTTTGAGAAAGCGTACAACTTAGTCAGCTGGAGCTTCCTAGATTATATGTTTATCATATATGGGTTACGTGACAAATGGAGATCTTGGATGAGAGCATGTGTATTTGTTGGTAATCATGCAATGTTGATAAATAGGCGCACAACTCAAGAGATTATCATCCAAAGGGGTTTTGAAGAAAGGGAATTGTCTAGCCCCTTTCTGGTTTCTTCTTATGGCTAAGGGGTTAATTGGATTCGTTACTAAGGTTGAGGAGCTTGGTCTCTATTTTGAATTCAGGGTGGGCACGTCTGATTTGGTGGTATCCCATCTTCAATATGTTGATTATAACCTCTTAGTGGTAGTCCCACTCATGAGAATCTGTAGAATATTAAGGCGCTCCTTAGAGGTTTTGAGCATGCCTCAAAGCTTCAGGTTAACTTCTTCGAGAGCAGTCTTGTACGGGTTAATGTGGATCCAATATTTTTATTCTCTGTAGGTGAATTTCTTCACATTAAGATTGAAACTCTCCATTTTAAGTACCTTAGTTTGCTGGTAGGGGCTTATCATAGGCTTGAAACCACCTAGGATCCTTTAGTCAATTTGCTAACTAGGAAAATCTACTCTTGAAAACATAGATATGTTAGTTTAGGTGGCAAAGTGTCCCTTTTTAATGTTGTCCTAAATGTTATTTCTATTTTTTCTTGTTTTTTTAATGTTTGTAAAGGTGTGGAAGGAGCTTGTTTGATTATAAAGATGGTTCCTTTGAGGAGAGGTGAAATGCGATTTTAATATATCTTGAATTAAATGGGATGATGTGTGTAAGCCTAAGAGTATATATCATTTAGGAGTTAGAGACCTCTGACTGGTTTATCTAACCCTATTAACGAAGTAGAAATAGAGGTTGTTTACAGGTGCCCTATGCATTTTGAGAGATATCCTTGTAGCTAGGTATGGTTTCTAGTTGTTTCCTCTTATTGGGGTAGTGAAATTCTGGCACGCACATCAAATGTGTTAAGACTGGTGTCTCAACGTACAAACAATGTCATGACAGATGCTATAACATTTACTGACAGAACAATAACAATGACAACACAGAAAAATAACTTGTAGAAAAAGAAAGAACACAACAATATGTTAACCCAGTTCAGTGCTAACTCACCTACTTTGGAGGCTATCAAGCCAAGAAGAAAATTCATTATCAGTAGTATTAGTTTAAAGCTAAACTAGTCCCAAGTTACCTAATCCCTACCCAGTGAAACTTCAACTTAGTCCTCCCTAAGTCAAGGAAATTGTCACCCCACTTCCAATCACCTCAGTGATAAAAAGACATATCCCAGTCACATGGGTTGTCTAAAAAAAACAAGAAGATCACACTTCTAAATTACAAATACTTAAATTGCTTAAAACTTTCACTAAGAACAATACTCACTCTTGTTTCACAGCTTCGAGGAGAATAATAACTTGACAAATTGTCAAGCACAATCAGTCAACTCAAATGTATCAGAGATACATGGGGATGTACAAATAAAATAGAAACTTTCTTGAAGAACCTTCAGACCACAAGGCTAAGAAAATACGGCTTCCCTTTAGTTTCTTCATATTTTCTTGTTTCGTTAGGTCTAAATTATTTCTTTAAATACTCCTCAGCATCTCTTGGGCCTTGCAGCTGCACCTAAATATTCCTTGTTGTCCACGCTGAGAGCTGGACTAATATGTGCAGAAAAATCTCTCTGAATCATGAAACAAGAACACAAGGTTTCCTAATTAGTCACAATCAACCAATTATAGCAACCTGTGTAACACTGAGATGTTATTTGTTCCAGATATATAATTCTTGACCTCTGATAAATTAGTAAGATATAAATAACGTAAATCCCACACAATCAATTGATGATCTGTCAAGAATAAACTGAAATTGCAGTACCACCTGCATCAGACCAAGATGTCATGACATTGTCTTCGTCATTTGGTTGTAAATAACATAACAGGAAACTATTATGAAAAATCATGTTTTAGCAAAAATTATGCCAATCCAATAAACACGGTACTAACAATCTCCCCCTTTGACAAATTTTGGCTAAAACACTCTTAGCATAAAAGATTCGGGAGAGATGAATAAAACCAAAAATAAAAACAAGCTAAATATAAAGATCTAAATATCAGAGTTAACAACAACATATACAAACAGAGCACTCCCCTGTCTCACATAAAAGGTTCACCCCCTCAAGGGAAAAACACTCACTATAGCACCTGCAGTGGAACAGTAGAAGCAGCAGCAGCAGCTTTAGCACACAAAGACACAAAGGTGTTGGATCATTTGCTAAGACATCTCCGTCTTGCACATATAGCTACATCAATAGCAGAAGCACGAAAGATCATGCTCCCCCTAAATATTTGCATAGGACACCATAAAGAACCCAACACATTACTCTCATTTTTTAGCCAAAATATTGACAAAAAGAGAATAGAGTAAGTGTACACAAAGCACACAAAACTATGGAACCAGAATTTTCCATAGGCACGTACTGCACACAGTCATTACATCAACCATGGAAACACAAATGAAAACAAAATCTAAACACATATGGAAACAAATAAAAGCACTAGGAACTAGATGGAAGCACACAGAGTTTAAAAATTACAGCAAAAAGATACAGAGTGTCAAAATAAAGACAATGAGACACAAGCCCTTACAATATATTTATCAGAACTGACAAACAAATAATCAAACAATCAATGATGTTGCTGGTTGTTTCTCCCGCTTCACTTGTTTCCTTCATTTGCAGCATTATGTCCAGTTCCTTTCTTCTCGGTAACATCTTTTTCGGTCTCCAAGGCCCTTGTGAGTATTTCAAATATGGTTTTTCTTGCACAACACTTCTTGATTATGTCATCCATCTCCTTACAGGTATTCTTGAGTTCAAAGATGGTTTCTTCTTTCGAGACTAATCTAACCTCATCCTTTCCAGATGTTGTAGCAATGTCCTCAATATGTGACCCTGAAGAAGGTTTGGAGTGAATAAATAAAGGAGGTTTTCTACTTCTTTCCTTATCGGATTCTCTTAAGATCTCTGGATACTGATTCAGATTTGTGCCACAAATTAGAGTAGGAAAGGCGATTGGCATCTTTACAGCATAGGAAACAGCATGTCTGATAGTTTGATCAAATACATAGTTCCCAAAATCAAATTTTGTCTTTGTACCAACCATATAATGAATTTTTCCTAAACCTGTAGTTACTGAGGAAATGTGCTTGGTAGGCACCCAATTGACAGCTTCAAGCTTATTTAACACAACATACTTGAGAATTAAGTTACTCACAGAGATCTTACCATCCTTTGGCCAATGAGGTACTTTGATGGTTGTGATTTCTTTTCATATAATGTCATCAATAACCTCTACTTTTCCTTGTTCACTTTCAATACATTTTGCAAACCTATTGATGATTTCAGGCGAGAAATCCACACACTTTCCTCTAACAAATACCTTTCTATATTCCCTGTTATTCATATCATTGCAGTCTCTAGGAATGTTGACAATGAACTATCTTAC